GGCTCAACCTGATCCTTCTAGCCTAGACGACTAGCTATGCCTAGACCATATATTTAGATGGACTGATTTATGTTACTACAGACTTGAGCTGAGCCCACAAGAATGTGGGGGTGGTTCTGCTCAGTTCGTCCATTTTGGCACCCTTAAGGTAGGACTGGGGTTGCTAACTTTTTGTTTTTTTCCCTTTGTCTTAAGTTTTACATTGAATTATTCTTGCTTTCCCCAACTACAATATTCACATAAATTGAGGACGTCTAAGCAAAGGGACCCCTTTTAAGCCCAACCGTAATTGGAGAAAAGAGGACCAGTTCATGTCTCAAGATTAAGACGAGACAAATAACTCATAAATGATCCAATATATGGACAAATTGGATATTTTCGTATATTTGTGCCTCGTGGGGGAGCATGCACCACTAAATATTGAAAAAATCAAGTTAGTCGACATTTTTATTGAAAAATGAAGCATTAAAAAAAATAATTTATATATTTTAATTTTTTCTTCAATATATAAAAAGGAAAAAGAAAAACCAAATCAGAATCGCTATTCAATCGAAGAAAAATCCATCAGACGTAATCTTTGATGAATCCTACCACCATAAACCTCAAGCGCATACTAGAAGCGTTGGTACAGCCAACCAATCGAAGATGAAGCTAATAAGAAGAATATTCCCAGTTACGTGTCGATGCTCTACTGCAAAAGTTTTTGGAGATTAAACAATTGTGACAAATAGACGTCATATTAACATTAACATTATTTTGTGACCTTGTCTTGTCACTTAAACGTGATCAATGTCTTATGGTTGAAATTGTTGTAGGTTACTGAAACATTTTTTATTTTTAATCTTACAAATTATTTAATAAATTTGGAATGAGTTTTTAAGTGATCCAACAAATAAAAAACTAACAAGTTTTATTATGTTTAAAAACATATATTGTACATATTAGTATTTATTTTGAATTGGTGGCGTGAAAATTTAATTATGGTTGTCAAAATAAAATTAAAATGTTTATAAATATTTATTACAACATTTTAACCTCAGTTCGACCCCGGTCAAACCTTTGACCCTTGACCCTGATCCTTTTTCAATTCGATGCCCAAGACGAGTTTTAAAACATTGGCATTATGCCCTTGCTTGATAACAATTATTAAAAAACTCTTGTAGAAATATAATCATTTTTAACAATACATTTATACAATAAAATATTAGGTAGGTAATCCAAAAAAAATTCTGACGTTTTAACCACATATTCTTTAAAAGTTTACTATTCAAAACTTTATTTTTGCCAAATAATGGCCAACAGAGCCTATATATAACATATATTATGAGTTACAGTAAAATTAAAATTGTGATGAATGTTTAAAGCTTTCTCTGGGCTCCATTTTAATTTAATGCATTTTTTTTTCTTTTTCTTTTAATTTTAACAACACATTTTTTTTAATAAAATAATATTACATGTAAATCTAAAACATTTTTTTTTACTTTTATCCACATATTTTTTAAAAAATTATTATTCCAAAATACATTTCTTCCAAAATCTCGTTGAAACGGAGCAAGGGCCTTTATTTCCACAATTCATTGGTAAGATAACATGGACCTGTAACTAAGAGTATAATAATTTAGAATCTTACTACTCAATGTTTGTATTAGAACTTTCACCTTTTTGGACTAATTTAGAAACAAACTCCTCAATGTTTGTATCAGAACTTCCACCTTTATCAACAGCTTCTCTAGCCAATTCTTTCCATTTGGTGGCGTTTTTCTTCATCTCTTCTCCTGTCTCGCCTTCCATAACTTGCCTCGTGAAGTTGCAAATCGTTTCCCGACTAACCATCCCATTCTCATCTGGCAGCGCTCGAATACCAATCTTCCAAAAATCCATCACGTACTTTGCGTTTGTGCTTTGGTCGGTCCATTGCGGCATTGCCACCATTGGGACTCCCAAACTCAATGCCTCCAACGTAGAATTCCACCCACAATGTGTGACAAAACAACCTACTGAATTATGCGCCAAAACATCCAACTGAGGACACCATGACAGTATTAGGCCTTTTTCACAAGTCTCTTCTGCAAAATCTTTAGGAAGTTTTGATTCTTCTGATGCTCTAACAATCCACAAAAAGTATTTATTGGTTAGTTTCAAGCCCCATGCCAATTCTTCCATTTGCTCTTTTCCCAACTCAGCCAAGCTTCCAAATGAAACATAAATCACTGATTCAGATTCTCTTTTATCGAGCCATTCCATGCAGGCACCAGTGATTGGCTTGTAGACATTAAGACCATATTCTATGTCGTCTTCAATGCGCTTGTCTAAGTACATCGATGGTATGGTTGGTCCAATCGCCTTCGCTGGTGAAAACTTTGCCATCCAATCAATCACCTATGCAGCAAGAATCTGTTAAACTTCATTCTATGTGTTTAATCATGGTAACTTAACTACGAAAAGCAAATGGATATAGTTCTCACATTAAGAGTGAATCAATGTAAATATGTGCATACTTTGCTCGTTTCTGATTATATCTCCCTCGAAAGTAGGAATTAGTATTGAATACATAATGGGGGAAAACAAATTTAGAAACAGAGGCATATGCAAATTGAAACAAAATATTCACAATGATGTTTAAGTAGTTTTACCTCTTCCTCCAATTTGTGGAAGGTGTTGAAAAATAGCCAGTCTGCCTTTTCAATATTTTGGAACTGATTGACAACCAATTCCAATAGAGGAGGGTATGATCGATGAACATAAAGAAAAGAAGGCATATCTGAGGGCTTTAATGGAGGCAATCCAGGAATCAAAATTTCACTCTCTGAAAGTGGAAGTTCCACATCCCCTTTGTACACGTGATAGTAAATATGGTCAACAACACAAGATTGTGTGAAAAAAGCAGCACCAACCAATCCCATTTTCTTGGCTACATCAAGACTCCATGGAATAAACGCATCATAAACTATACAATCAACGGCGCAGCACGAGTTTTTAAGCCTTTTGATAAGTTCTTCAAGAGTTTGTGTCCCAACTTGACGAAAACGAGCTATATATTCTTCTTCGCTCCCTCTCGCAGAAATCCCACCTTCGTCGTATCCATCAGAAATTGTTTCAACAGAAACAGAACCAGAAAATTCTTGCATAGTCTTGAATACATGTTTTGTTGCAGCTAGTGTGATTTTGACTCCTTTATGCCTCAAACGCTTAGCGAATTGGAGCATAGGATTTATGTGACCTTGGAGAGGAAATGGCAAGATTAAGCAATGAGCTTTGCATTCTTCCTTTCCTTTCTCCATTCTGAGGCTAATTGAATCTGAAGTCTTAAGTGTTCTATGCAAGTTTTCGTTTTCTATATAGAGAGGATAAACAAAAACCTGTGGTACTCGTGAACTTTGGATGTTACACTAGTGTCCAATAACACACTTGCAATTGACAGTTGAAATTTCTATCTCCTGTTTGTCTTTTTTTTTTTTTAAAGTTTTTGAATAGTAAATTTTTTGAGAATGTATGGTTAAAAAGTTTTGAATTTCCGTGAAAAATATTTTATTGTGAGAATGTGTGTGACTTATCCTTACCCTCGGCGACGGAAACGATTCATTTTCAAATGGCCCTACCTGTCTCACATCTCGATTCCACCGCAAAATTGGACTCTTCATGACGAAAATCATTGATGGGGTTGTCAATTATTCTTGGTTGTTTTCATTCCAATCATGCTACATTAACCTCAAGTTTGACAGCTTTTTTGACATCATGTGACTTGGCAAATTTTTATCCATTGATTTCACAACACTTTTTTTCAATCAACGATGAAGATTTCTACACATAGGCGGGGTGTCAAAATTGATGTCAACCGTTGATGTACAAGAAGGATAGTTGTTTTCATTATTTATCAGGAAATAGATGCAGTTTGGATCAGTCAGAATTTGTGGGCATGATCACAACGTGCAAAAACTAAATTCGAAAATCTAAAATGGAAGAAAAGTTGGACACTATATGAAATTATGAAAACAATAATAATTATTCAATTCAGTAATTTAGTGGTACAAAATGACTGATTTCTTTGACCTTAAAACATTCATTTTCTTAGAAATTTTGGAATAATGGCCCACTTGACTTGACTAAAATATAGTCCACACGATTTTAATTATTTTTCATATATCTCCAAATATAGTTTTGTCCTTTCAAGAAAATGAGAAGATTTTGATTTGATGGTTTAAAGCTCAAAAATGCTTTTTCCATTTGAAGTTACAGTTTTAACTTATTTAGCCTATGTTTGACCTATATTATTTTTTTCATTCTCATTCTTCTACTCATTTTCAATCATACATTCTTCAATAAAATAATATTTTTCATCACATCAATAACTTTTCCTTCATTTTCAACCACATATTCTCCATTACATCACTTTAAAAAAATGCTTTCTCTCATTTTAATGTGCACCAAACGGATTCTTAGAGCTTGTTTGGAAAGAATTTTAATCCAATTAAAATTGAAAGCACCTTTTTTTGTAACGATTCCAAAAACCAAATTTCGAATGGCCCTACTTGTCCCATATCTCCATTCCACCCCTAAACCCACCAAATTCCACCGCAAAATTTGACTCTTTATGATGAAAATCATTGATGGGTTGTCAGTTATTCTTGGTGATTTTCATTATTTATCAGGAAACAGATGCAGTTTTGGGCATGACACGGCTATATTCGAATTTATAGTTACAGTTTAAAATAAGTAAATTATTGAGTCAAATATAGGACAAAATATGTAACTTCTTAACCTGACTTATTTGACTTAAATCACCAAAATTAAATGGAAGTGCTGTAATGCTCAATCAAATTAGTTCTGTGGGAGGATTAATCATTGAAGAAACAAATTCTTCAATGTTTTTATCTGAACTCCCTCCCTTGCAATTTCTTTCCATTTTTTCGTGTTCTTTCTGATCTCTTCGCCTCTGTCCTCCATGACATTCGTTATGCAACGAACAATCTCTGTTTGTTCGACTATACCTTTCGTGTCTTGCCTAGTCTTGATTCCCATTTTCCGAACATCCTTAACAAACTTCGCATTGTGCTTTGGTCAGTCCATTGTGGCATTGCTACCATAGGAACTCCCAAACTCAATGCCTCCAATGTGGAATTCCAACCACAATTTGCGATGAAACACCCTGTTGCCTCGTGAGCCAAAACTTTTAACTGTGGGCACCATGACACAATTAGTTTTTTCTTGGACGTCTCCTCTGAAAAGTTCTTGGGAAGCTTAGCTTCTTCGGATGATCTAACCACCACAAGAAGTACTCATTGCTCGTTTTTAAGCCTTGTGCCAATTCTTCCATTTGCTCAGCTCCTAGTTCAGCCAAACTTCCAAACGAAACATGAGATGACCCTTTATTTATAAGGATTTAAACAAACTAAAATTAAAAAGAATTCAAAATAGCGCTAAAACTTTAAAAACTAGTTTTCGAGTCATAAACGAACTCGGATCGCTGAAATCCATTGTACATCATGGTATAGCCATGAGTATTACTCGTATCGTCGTCCTCTTTTCGGAATGATATTATGAGATCAAATCGAAATTCGAATATTCTCTCTCTGAACTATTACTTTTTCCTATTTTGATCCAATTCTTCAATAATATATTCTACATCACTTTACATATGTCCTGAGCTATACTAATTTATGAAAATTAAGCACCAATAGGACCTTTCATAACTATTATGAGGTGTGTTAATTAAAAGAAAAATTCAATAAATGAACGTGTCTTGCAAATCTATGATTCAAAATGATTGCATACCTCTTTCTTCCAAAAAAGCATTAAC